TGTTAGTGTATTCAATGTACACTGAACGCATCCATTAGAATTTGTTTTTTTTCTAAATGATTAAAGTTAAGGACAGCCCCAGATTTGGTGTAAAGGAGAATGCAGAGTAAGGGCTTATATGGATGGGCTTTGGGCTTGTATTGAGGACATCTGAGATAATTTTGAATTCATTAACCCCTTTTTACGGATGCACGCAATTTGTAACCTGGGCATGTTGGGTATCGTTTTACTCGTTGTAACCTCATCTTTTATATTTCATTTAAAAAATGGGTATTTTGTTGTATTTTGGGGCATTTAATTAAATTTTTCACTAAATATTGGGGTTTAATAAGGAGTTGCGCTAATATTGCGCAACATAAAAATTTGCAACTACCACCATTTTATTCTATAGGGTCTTGGCATTCAGAAAATATATAATATTGGGGGGTTTTAAGTAATTTTCAGGCCTAAAATGTGGAATATAACATGGGTACAAAAAATGAAAAAAAGGCCTCAGTCATGAAGGGGTTAAGGTGCATTTGACCTGCAGCTGAATTTATTCTGGCCTGCATTTGAGCAGCTTCAAGCAGGTTTTGCATTCCCATAAACTTGTATGGGATTGTAAAACCAGCCTGAAGAGAACAAAAGCTTGTTGACACAGGTCCTAAGCAACACTCACTTCTGTGTACTCTTTTCTGTATTTGTTTACCAGTAAACTAGGGCTGGAGAAATCCCAGTAGCCAGGTAGCCAATGCTTCCTAAAAATTCCAGCTGGCGCCTAACTTTTGATGTTTTCTATGGTTGTTGTCAATGAAGCTGGCTCCTAAAAAAAAAATCCTGCTGGCTCCTAAATTGGACAGACTGGCTCCTGAATTCCATAATACTTTGTCCACCCCTGCAGTAAACCTATCACAAACCTGAGCAATTCAAATTAATAAGCTTTGGAAATACTTAGACTAGGAGCCAGCCGTGAGATCACGGCTGGCTCTGCCCGGCTGTCAGTTGCAAGGCTTTCGGCCGGCCCGCTTCGGGTTTCAATTCGGCTCAGTCAAGCCGACGCATATGCCTTCGGCTCAAATGAGCCGTTCGGCCAGCTTCGGGAGCTGTACGGCCTATAGTGAATAGCCCTTAAAGCAGCCCTTTGGCTCTACTGAACCGAACGGCTCAGGTGGCCGAAGCTAGCCGAAGGATCAGCCGGAGCTACGGCTGATCCCTTGGCTAGCTTTGTGAATAACCCTCTAGGTATTTAAAGTAAATCATTCTCAAATTGAAGCTTGGCATGTGGTGAAAAAATTTATATGCAGAGATTTCTTCCAATGGAAACCACATAACAAAACAAACAGTACATCTAGAGATACAGCATCTGAAAATCTATGCTAATCTTGGCTATTCCAGTAAAAAAATTAGCTTGGCCCTACACCCTTTACCATGATTCACACCTGACAGTTTTGTAGCCTAAAGCTCCAATATGCTGAACAACAAAAATCAAACACTTTTAAATTGTGGCTGTTCACATGAGCCTGTAACTTGGCGTCTGAAGCTCAAAACAGTACAGGAGCTACTTCTGAAGCAGAATGGGGAATTTTGGCCCTATAGCCCTACAGACTTAATGGAAATGCCTGAAAATGAGCTGAAATGACAATCTCTGTGCTCTAATACCTGGCTTTTCTTTGGCTAAAACAAAAATGCTCAGGCCGAAAACACCTTAAAATGCACAAAACGTACAAAAAATGCTACACAATCAACTGTGGAGGCTCACGCCATGGTGCAAATGCAGCCTTATGATCTTCCCTATTTGTCAGTGAGGCTGACCATCACATTAAATTTGAGATTTGCATATATCATCAAATTAACATGTGGTTTCCACTGTGGTTTCTCTTCGTATTGATTTTTTCATCACAGGCTCAGTTTAAACTTGACTGATTTACTTTTAATACCTGGAGAATCTCTGTCACCAAGGGAAAGAAGTTACAACTTTGCACTTATTTAATTGTCCAGCTCGTTTATTAAACACAAACAATAACATCCAAGAATGATCTGTGCTTCACGAGAGACTTAATTCCAATGTTGTTAGTGCACAGTAATGATCCACCCTATAATGCAAAACAATGAAACAGTCAATTTCAAATTAGGAGCCTCTATCAAACATTTACATATACTGAACAGTCCAGCATTGAAAGGGTAAAATCATTCATTATAATAATTGCAGGAAACATTACTACTGGACTAATGACACCCCTAAATGTTCAAAAAGGTGCCAAACACTGAGACACAGGAGAACCCTGTCTTTTGTTATTTAGAGGCGTCATTAGTCCAATAACATCATGTGCTGCTTAGCACATCTTTTTCTGGCATGCTGTGCTTTTTATGATTAATGATCCCACCCTTCCGGAGCTGGACTGTGTTGCATATGTGCATGCTTGATAAAGGGATCAAACCCATATTGGTCTGCTCTGTTTATAGTATGGGTCATTAGTCTAGCAGTACGTGGGCTATTTTATGAATGACGTAGAGTGGCTTTGCATCCACTTTTAAGGCATATCTTACTTTAAGAATAACCAGGGAAATATCTTAAATCAAAGTGATCAGCTGTTCTCAACCAGATTCAGAGCTACTGTATCACAGCTGGCTTAGCTTTCATTCTGAAGAATGACATGTTCTTGCTTTTGAAAATAATTGACTGACCTTACAAAAGGTCTGTTGTATCCTTTGGAGTTGTGGAAAGCCAAGTGGCTGTGAATGCTCTAGAGACCCAGAGTTAGGTTAAAACAGTTAAATGGACCCAATCCCCTGTCCACCTACTGTTGGGTTTTACACATTTTAGATGAAAATCTAAGAAACCCTTTACCATTCTTTAAGCTGACTTGCGGATTCATTTGTTTAGATAACTGGCCATTACCTATTTGCTTAGCTAAATCCAGGTATTGACTTTTTTTTGGACCAGGCAGTGTATATGTAAACAACCTCACTCACTGGGTCCACTGAATAATAGCAGCACTCTGTTCAATGTGAAAAGCTACTCACTCATGGTTGTGTGATATGCCAATAGAACAACATACCCGGGGCATTGATTTCACAGAAAGTGTTGTGTGGAGATCATGTAATAACTAAATATTTAAATAAACAGAGCCTACTTTACCCATACATGTTGACTTTGCTAATCTGCTATATTTCTTAGAAAACGTTTGAACTGCACACAACTTTAGCAGCTTATACTGTGTATACCAAGAATAATAGCTATTTGCCAATTGTACTTGAAATAGAGAATATCAATTTTCAAAAGACTGAAATCTTTATTCGAACAGGTCATCACAAAAAGTCCAAACTGAAACTAATTACAGCACTCTGCAATAAGTAAAGGATAAACATTAACAATGTTAACAATTTATTGTATATAAAACTCTAAGTCACTCCAAATTACATTATTTTAGTTCATAGGAATCAAACAATGGCATATAAGGATTTTAACATACAGTAAAGTATTCACAGACATCTACAGCGTATAAATAGCTCAAACACAGCACAATAATACACTAAAAATGAAGGTACGAGTGTATTCTCAGCTTAAATATATAAACCTACAAACAAGAATGATTGGGTTTTTTGTAGAGGTTAAAATTGATCTACTGGGTTATTTTCTTTTCCCAGCTTCCAGTGTAAGCTACATGGAAGATGTATTTTCTTGTGCAGCATACACTTTACCAACATGAGATTATGTTTTCTATTGCCCCCCGCTGTCTTTAACTCTGGTCATGTATTTGTAATTTTGGAACATTCCAATCAGCAGTCAGCCACAGGACTCTCGCTATTGCATTTGTTTCACAGTTTGGAGCAACTAAACAATCCACATTGTGCTGGAATCAAACAAACACAATTGCAGTGCCAGTCAAGGGCCATTGTTGATAGATTTCCATGCCAGTTTCAATTTTTGGTCACTTGAATCTGGAAAGCAAGTGAAACCATGATTGTCATGGCTGAAAGCTAATAGGAAAACAATAAAATTGTTAGAAGAATTTCCAAGTGTATGGCCAAAATAGCCATCACTGAGCCAGTGCCAAAGAGGGCTGCAAGACAACAGCAAGCAAAGACACTGGGCTTAGGTCTACATAATGGCAAGCCTGCCCAAAGAGAAATATGGGGCGTGATTTACTAAAGGCAAATAGGCTGTTCACTTTGCAAATCAATTTTCCCTTAGCTTAGTTAATGAGGTGAAGTTCTGCTAACTTCAACCAATCAAGTGTAAGCACAAATACTGTTTTTGCCTCTGAAGCTGCTCACCTAGCCAACGTATCCAACATTATTTCCAGGGCACCCTGCCCAAAACCGCCCCCACCCCCCTTGGCGAGCACTGTATCCTTTGACTTTGTCCCCCACAAACTTTCTCATGCTGCGTGTGATTAGTACGCAGCCCCTGTCCTTCTCTATGGGAGTACGCGGCCATACGCCGCCCTACGCTCACCTCAAGTGCAGATCCGTACGACTGCGATTGTCCCGGCTTGGACGCAGACAGGATCCATCCTGTCTGCGTACAAGTATGGACACCTGCACGGACGTGCAGGGTGGGTGAGCATAGGGCGGTGTATGGCCGCGTACTCCCATAGAGAAGGACAGGGACTGCGTACTAATCACACGCAGCACCTGTCCTTCCCAGGAGCTGCCCGATACAGCCGTGCACGCAGCATGGAGATGTACGTGCCAGCCTTTTCTCATGTGAATGAGGCCTTTAAGGAAATCTGCAAACATTTTTTATTTTACATGACATACTGTAGAAAATGTTTTTTGGTTTACAAGCTGTATCATGTTATTTCCATCACTTATCCATTAGAAATGTTACATATTTTTACTGACTTGTCTAATGCTTATTGTTATTTTAACGGCAAGAATAGTCAATATTCATACTTTACTACTATAAAACCTAGAAACCGCCATGTATACATTGCACTAAATTCATTCAATATTGAAATGCTCTAAAACTGTACAGAAGGCAGAATAATATTTTTCTTTAAATGAATATTATGTACCTGGCTTTTGGAAGCTGCAACCTTTGCAAATAGAGCTTGGGATACTTTAGCTCTTTTCATTTCCTGCTGGATCTCATCATAAATGGAAGCATTAATATTCATGCTGCAGTTTTCCAGGCTTCCGTTTCTTTCTGTTGCAATGGTCGCTGCCTTGACCTGAAACATACATTTGTACATAATCATTCATGTGATAATTGTTATTGATTCATATAGCACCAACATCTCTTGTGAAGCTTTACAGAGTCCACAGATTTCTGATCTCCAAGGTCTAGTGTACACGGGCTTTCGAGATCAGTTAAGGCCATTTAGAGATAGGTGTGCTTTGCCTTTATTCCTCATGTAAGGCACAGTGGAGGCATGGCAAATGTATAGTAAAAGCATCTCAAATGCCTTTCTACACTAGCCCTTACAGTAATGTGACTTTTCTTTTCTGTTCAATAAAAACAACACAATGCAAGTTTTAGCTTGCTATAGACAAGAGATGACCAATTTTAGAAGGGTAAGGACAACCATTTTTTTCACAGTTTAATCAAGTTAAAGTCCATTATCATCTGAGCCTCTACAGTACAATGTTCACTGTTGTCTGCATACAATCTTGCACTCCACATTCACCTCCATGTAGAAAACTGATTACAACAGACCTGTCAGCACAGGGTCACATTATACTTACCTTCCCATTGGCCCAATGGTTGGTATACCACCTCTCAGCTTCACTGTGTGTGTAATATTTATTCACCCTCTGCATGCGTTGGTTTCTGCCGGTAATTTATACATAACTACAGAATGTAAGAGCTGGTGGGAGGAACAACTGTGTGTGTCTAGCTCTGACAAGCCTAAAATTGACTTTCTGTCTCTTTGACAATGGTCATCAGACAAATAGGGGGGTGAATCTCCCAAGGGAGAACACATACAGCAATAAAAACTTGGCAGAGGGTCTATCCTCGCACCACTCTATCCAAAACAAAACAAAAAAACACTACTGAGCTTTGCCTTCGCATACATTTAAGATCTAAAACAGCGCTTAGTCACCCTCAGGGCCTGTTCACACACAGCACTGTTCTGTGCTGACCTGATCCGTATGCTCCTACACTAAAAATGCATCCCAATGTATCCCTATGTGTTTTATGGGCTACAGTTCTCACGTGCGCAGTCCGTTCAGGTTACGACAGAAAAATACTGCATGTCACATTTTGTACGGTCAGGAAACGCAAAACGCGGCAAAAACGCACTGCACTGCAGCTAACACACTGACAGCCCCACACCCACGCATCAAAAACGCGGCAAAACACATAGCACCACGTCTGCAGATCCGCACCTGATCCGGACCTGATCAGGACCTGAAACTCATGTGAACAGGCCCTTAGCAACACTTAAGTACTTAAGTAATTTTACTACAAAACTCTGGGACTGTTGCTTGTCACTACCAAACCTCTAGTTGGCATTTCTAACAATATTACAGGACTCCGAATGAAAAAATGGGTCTATATAGTGGAAAAGGAAGAGCTAGTGGAGTTAAAGGAATGAAAAGCAGAAGTCCCTGAGCCTCAAAGTACAGCTTCCTTTAAAGCAGAAGTAACTGCTGCTGCTAAGAATAATTGACAGGGTAAACTTTTGTAATCTTAAATTCCACGTGAAGTGGAGAGTCTTTCATGTAGGACGTTTGAGGTGAAGCACAACATGCACTTAGATTTAAAGTGACACTAAAGAGGAGTTAAATATTAAAAATACATTCAAGTACCTTAAATATTAACAAAATTGTATCTTAGTTGTGTAGCTGTAGATCCTCAAATCATCTCTGAATTAGTGCGGACACTGTTCTTCCTTATGGAGGGTGGCTACTTCTGTTCCCCATGGTCCCTGTGTTTTGTAAAGTAGCCACCACTCTAAGCTTGCTCCTGTGAAGGACTACAATCGTACGCATAGCTTACTAATTTGCAAAAAAAACCTTGTCCAATTCCTACTGTCCCGTCTTATATAAACTAGCCTCAAATGTGTATGGCAGCACCCTCTCTTCTCAGCTTTATATCCATGTACATGTACAGTATGGTTGGATAACTTGAACATATTTGTGAATATGCATTCACCGTTTAGGGCTTGTTCACACCAAGCGTGTTCCAGGAGCAGAGCAGAGCAGTTACAGACCGGATCAAAACTGCGTCCAATGTGTTCCACTGGTATTTGATCTCTAGTTCACACCACAGCGTTCAGTTCCAGAGCATGTAAAAAAAACTGCAGCAAGCCCTATTTTACCTGCTCTGGAACGCATTCAAACGCCCTGGAATGCACTGAGAGCTCATTTTAAACTAAAAAGTTTTGTTTTTTTAAAACCAAAAATGGTCCGGAACGCATCAAAAACGTGGCAAAAAACGCAGTATAACACACTGCACTGCATGTGCAGAAACTCATGCAGATCTGGTCTGCATTTGGTGTGAACAAGCCCTTAAAGGAAGGAACTTTACTCCCTTCTTATTACACATTTAATATTGTCAACAATATGCACAATATGTTACCTACATTAAACACAATGCAGGATAGATAGATAGATAGATAGATAGATAGATAGATAGATAGATAGATAGATAGATAGATAGATAGATAGATAGTTCAGAATTTACAAGCACACATAATAAATGTTTTATATACGGCACTTTCTTACATTATTGACTTTTGCTGCAACTGCAAATATGAATGATATACCATTATACATTATCCACGGTTCAAATCACATCTGCAGTTTAACAAATATTTCACATTTTGGTAGAAGGTTAATATAACACCATCTCTATTGTCAAGTGACAACAAGGAATTACTAAGTCATAAAGCAAGTTTTGTGGCAACAAGCCAGATATTTTCACAGAGCCGTGCAAATGTACAACTGAAAGCTTTTGCAATTAATGGGAAAGAATTTAACCATCCGTCTTTGCAAATACGGCTTATCTTGAATAGCATGCATTGTAACTGTCATGATTTATGTCTGTGATAACAGTGTGATGGTATCTTGTTTTTCCTTTTTCTTTATTTTTATTAGATTTCCTCTTTTGATAGTTTAACCTTGCCCTTTCAGTTTTTGCATCGTGCATTATCTGTAGATATTATAACGTCACACTTGTTAATAGACTGCATACTTTGTCCCTAGAATGACATGTGTAATCTTTACCTTTATGAGCACTCTCAATGTATATAATGTAAATATTTATCTTACAGTTACACAGGCTTTTTTTAGGAGGATAGAAAATATGCAGAGGAAAATACAGCCCATGGCAACTAGATTTCAGCTGTCATTTTCATAAAACAACTACTTCTGAGCCCACATTGCAGGGATCCCTCACTCCTGAAGCCCCCTAATAAGCAAAAGTAACACCCTCATCCCACTGGTTAACCTCTTTGGTAAAATAAACTCACCATTTGAAAGAAAAAAAAGCACCAAGAGAGCCAATGTACCTAAGGAACAGACTGAAATACCAGCAGTAACATGTAGGTTGTGCTACAGTTAAACATAGAATTGTTAGGCCCCTTTCACATGGGTGGTCCAATCGGGTCGGTTTTGCAGGATGTCCAATGTTATGGGCAGCTGTGTGTATACAGATGGGCAGCCGTTTACACCCAACTCCAGCCAGGTCTGGAGAACCAAACGGAACAGGGTTCCGTTTTTACGCACCTCATCGTGCCAGATCAGGGGTAATCTAATGTATACGGACACATGTCCATTTACATCCAATTCCCCAAAGACTGACGTGTGGTCCAGTCACTTCAGTTTTTTCCTCCTTTTGCAAGATGGAGGAAAAATCTGGATTGACACAGATGTCACAACGGCGACATCCGATCCATACCGCTCTGATCAGGAGAGGATCCGTGCAGCCTGTGTGAAAGGGGAATTTACGGAGTCTGACAAAAGCAGGAGAAATGCATTATATGGCCAATGGTTTGGTACAGATCACACATTACACCTAAATAAGCTTGTTTGACATCCTATTTCAAAACTATGACTGTTATAAAGAGATGGCCCCCCTTTTGCAGCTATGTCATATTCTGGTGGAAGGATTTTCACAAGAATTCGGACAGTGTTTATGAAACACAGTAGAGCATTTCTTGAAACAGAAGATATGTACAGGTCCTACTTCTATCATACAATCTAAAAAATATGGGGTGTCTCCCTCATTTTAGAATAGTGGGCGGAGCCATGGGCATCATTCTTTCCTGCCCTGGTGGCTAACCACACATCCAGAATTTGCAGGGCTCCGCTAGCTATCCTTAAATTAGGAATAACCCCTCCCCCCTTTCTTTTCTATGGTGATAGAAATGGGACCTGCAAATACCTTCTGTTTTAAGAAGGCTCTGTTGTGTTTCTTACGACTTAGGTTGGGGGCTTTTTGTTTCCATTTAACTTCACCATAATGTGTCTGGTTGTCCTTTTTGGTCGGTCCTTCAGCCATATTCAATAGTAATCATGGTTGCATACGCTATAATGATGATGGCAAACTAGCCTGAAATAGCTGTGTGCAGTGTGGAAAAACTGTTCTGAACAAAAAAAGACCTTCCCCAAAGTGTTACCCACAAGGCTAAAAGCACACAGTTGTCTAAAATATCTTTGTTTGCTGTAGCATTAAAACTACCGTTCACTGGAAACATCTAAACTTAATGTTGAGCTCTAGAGACATAATTTAGGCCATATAGGTGAATGTGATGGCCAGGCATCGACTAACTTTGGGCTATGTAGTGTATCTGTTGATGATCGATTCAGTGTTTACCATAATTAGCTTCAGTCACCAAAAGCAATAAACCCTTTATTAAATAAAACATATAAATCAAAGAAGAGTTGTTTGTTGGTATTTTTGGTGGGATTTATAGATCATGTCGTTTTAAATGAAGAGCAGACCATGTGTGTTAAACTGTTAGTCAAAAGGATAAAAAATATTTTCCCAATCATTTCTCATTAGAAGATAAGAAGGGGGCATTAACAGCATTCACAAACATAATGTATCAAATCCAAATTCTCTAACCTCCAGCATTACCGTTTTCCAGTACAAAGCAGAGCAGGTATCTGATATAGTGTTTCCTCAAAAGCACTAACTGTGCATTCTTTCTGGCCAACTTTCTTTGTAGTACACTGAGCCAAGACTTACAACAAGGGATGAATTAGATTATGTTGCCTAGAG